GCGTCCCTATCCTCTACACCAGTAGAGGATATCACAGAACGTCTCGAGGAACTGGGCCGTAGTTTGCTCATATCCGCCTCAGAGTCCGACATAATCGAGCTTTGACTCTCTCGGTCCAATCGATTTAAAATTTCTTGCACGCGCCAATGTAATTTAGGACGAGCCGACTTTCGTTTCTCGTCCTCATTTGCATTTTTGTTTACAACTATTTCTATTTCGGAGGTATTTGCCACGGACTCATAGTTTTGGTTGGTCAGTTGTTTTCTCTGTTGGGTCTCCTTGATGGCTTCTGTACTTGAGTCGTCTGTAGAAAGTTCCGCTTCGCAATTCTTTAGTTCTTGGACTCTTTTCGGCCGCATCTTTTCTTTATCGGCTGGCGCCCAGGTTTTCTCGTGTATTTCAGTATTGGTGGCATTTGGGCGAACATTCTTAGTAGATTTCGAGGTCTTAGGTACAGGCCTCTTACTTCTCGTTCTTTCTGCTACGGTGCTATGATCCAACTGTGGTCTTCCTTTATTCGTTTTGGCCCCTACTGGTCTGCCTTTCGGTCTAGGCTCATTGGATGTGGTATGCGCTCTTCTTCGTATCGCTACCAGTTGTTCTGGATCTTCTTCGGTCTGTTCTTTAGTGATTTTCCTTTTAGTCACTTTGTTTTTCAGCATCATTACTTGAATTTTCGGTATGTTTTCATTCAGTTCTTTCTCTCTTTGTTCCTTTTCATCCAAGTATTCTTCTAAATTTACCGGGTTCCTTGACAGTGCATCGGCATTACAATTCAATTTTCCTGCCTTATACTCAAAGGTGTATTGGTAATCCGTGAACTTGAACATCCATCTCATAAGGCGTTGTCCAGGGTCCTTGCGCGTATGCATATAGTTCAAAGGTTCATGGTCACAGACTAGCGTGAATTTGTTGCATAACAGATATGGCCGGAACTGATTCATCGCGTATAAAATTGAGATACACTCTTTCTCAGTGGTCGTATAGTTTCTTTCGGGTTTACTTAGCAGTCTCGACAAATAAGCTACAGGCCTATCGACTCCATCTTCTTCTTGTGAAAGTACCGCTCCAATCGCGTAATCTAAGGCATCTGTAGTTAGCGTAAATGGTTTATTGAAGTCCGGAAATGTTAGGATCGGAGCTACATATAGGAGTTTTTTTTAGCTTTTCAAAGGCTTCTTCCTGTGCAGGTCCCCAATCATATTCTTGTCCCTTTTTGGCAAGATCACTGAGGGGTTTGGCAATTTTCGAATAATCTTGAATAAATCGCCTATAGTATCCGGACAGTCCTAGAAAAGACCTAACACTTCTCACTCCTTTTGGCCTTGGGAACTTCATTACAGCTTCGACTAATTTAGGGTCTGGCTCGACTCCTCGAGTACTTACGATATGCCCAAGGAATTTTACTTCCCTACAAAGGAAATTCACCTTGTCGGGCTGTAGGACTAGTCCCGCATCCGATAGTCTCTCAAAAAGTTTACCAACCTTCACTTCGTGTTCATGAAGGTTCTTAGCATAAACTATTACGTCGTCTAGGTACACTAGCATCTCTACATTTAGCAGCCCGCGCAGCAATACATTCATCATTCTCTGGAATGTTGCCGGCGCGTTCATTAATCCTTCCGGCATCCTTTTATATTGGAAGTGCCCATCAAACGACGAAAATGCTGTACCTTTTTAGTAGTCGCTTAACGCTTTGGAGCTCGCTTGGACTTAGATGTCCGGTCATAATCAATTGTAAGAGGTTCTCTCCCCTCTTCTTATATTGATCATTGACCTGCCTGGCTACTTTAGATTCCGAAACACCTTCGCCGTTAGAGCTGGAAAACTACGTTTTAAACTGCTCGAATAGCAAAATTTCTCTCGGGTCCACTTCAATGGTAACTTCCTCGTCATCGTGTGTATTAATTGCCATGATTTTACAGGTATTATTTGCATTTGCGACTACTCCCTCTCCAAGAAATACCTTTTCGTCCTTCACGTCAATCCTGGGCAGGTAGCCTTCTGTCAACTCAGTTTCGATCAAGTTAATTTGAATAATTTGACGAGATCTTGGTCCTATTGTGTATCTGACCGTACCGTGATTGACCTCGTTCCTCACTCGTCCGGGCTTAGAGTTACTAATCTCTTCGTTTGCAAGTTGCTCTATCGCATAATCCAGGTCCGAATCAGTTTCATCGTCTTTCGGTACTATGCGCATAGCTTTGATAAGATTGTCTTGTAAGTGCTCCATAGGCACATTAGTAGGTAGAAATGGTATCGGATTCATTAAATCACTGTTTACCATTAGGGTTCCATTATAATACGATATAACTGCACTTGTGTCTATTAAATAGTCCCTTCCTAGCATGCCATCTTCTTCAATGGGGAAATTATTCCACACTATATGGAATTTAGCAGGCTTGCCATTTATTGTTAGCAATACAGTGCCAAGAGTCGGAACAGTGTGTGCAGTTATCCCGCTCAGCGTAGTCCACTCTCTTGGGTCGAACCTCGTAGTCCAATGTAAAGCATTAAATTTTATAAGATTTACAGCCGATCCATTATCGACCATAAATACGGTCCACCGTTTATCGGTCTCGGGTATTCGAAATCTTACTCTCGTAGGCGCATGGATTTTATTATCTCTTGCGCTAGGTCCCCGATCTGCGGCAACTGCGACGACTGACTCGGAAGTAACGTCTCCGAATTTTTCAGTATTGTCATCACTTTCGCCTGTTGCTGCCGATAATTCTGAGCCGGGGATGTCTGAAATGGGCCCGCCACAGTAACTCCAGGGCGAGTCCCATCGGAGTTTAAATTACCAGGATTTCCTCCAAAGTGTTGATACGGTGGGTTCGGTCTCAACTCATTGAATCTCTGTTGTTGGTCGTAGGCAATTGCCCCGTATCTTCGTCCCGTAGGGTTTTGATACATGTCCGTATCAGGATTGTATAATCGTCCTGGGTGACTGCCGTTATCTTGAAAATTTTTATTCCGCTGGCGTCCCCTCCAATTTCTAAACATAAACTGTCTCTGCCCCTGGGACTGATTTTCCTGTTGTCAAGCCTGGCTCTCCTGGTTCTGATTCTGGTATTGTTGTCGTTGATTATTCTGATAAAATCGTCCGTTCTGTCGTTGGATAAAAAATTGTTGCACTTCCGCGGGTACCTCTTCCCATTCTTTGTAGTATGGTTCCTCAGCTTCAACTTGCTGATCCTGAATATACCCAACATTAAATCCACGGTTAATCGACAGCCACTTACTCATACTAAGGTCCTCATTTTTTGGCTTGTTCTTATTTCTAGTCTCTATGCGAAGGGCTTCCTTGTAAGCCTCCTCAAGAGACTTCGGCTGCTTAATATCGACTAAGTCCCCGATTTCTTTCGGCAGCCCGTCAATGAAGGTTTTAAGTGTGGAATTCTTTATCGGGGTCATCATGACATCACTATAATCAGTTCCAAGTTCTTCTTTCAGCGCGTTCTGTGCGCAGTTTAATAGGATATTGATACGGTCGTGAAAATCACCGACCGTGTCCTCATTTTTCATTCGCAAATTATGAATCTTTGAATCATAATAAGAGAAGTCCTTACATGGGGCAAATCGCTCCTTAAGTATTTTAACTAGTCCCTCGGCTGTATTTACGGTTTTACCGTAAATGCAAACTCTCGCTGGTCCCTTCAATTTCGCATTATTTCATTATTAATGAATATTAAAAGAAATCAGATCTTCAGAAATGTATGTGATACGTGACAGTTTTGATGTCTCTTCAAAACGGGCACGTGTTAGACCGTTTTTAGCTCCGAGTGGTCCTGACTCGGGCGGACTAAACCTTCAGTACGGTACCCCGACCGTGTCAGCGAATGGATCGCGTCTTTGCCGATAATATCCGAAGTTCGTTCCCGCGAGGGGTAGCCGGCAGTAATCGGGAAGGAAAAAGGGAGGGGGGGCTTCGCCGATTACTTAAATGAACTTACACGGGTACGTTGGATAGATTTATATATATATTTTGATAAGTCAGATAACACTTCTAGTAATAATATTGCGCTACTATCTGGTTCGCGATTTATTAAATAAGTATTCTAAATTGCGCGGTCAGTGGTGCTTACACACTTGGTCCCGGTACGCAATCACGCGGATTCACCAAAAGGGGAACCTTGAGTATGCTTAGTAGTATTAGAGCGAAGAGAGAGAGAGATAATAAAAAAAAAACAATAAGGCAGAGATTTCACCTTATCGAGAATAGAGCCCAAAAGTACTCACTCTGTTGTCTAGGTCCGAAATATTGTTTGGTTCGTAATATGCGTAATCACTGCTTTCGAATTCGTTTAATTAACTGGTCCAATATATCTGCTTTATCCAATAATATTCTAATAGCCAATAAGGTGAATCCTGGTATGATTTTCGTTCACGTAATAAATCGTTAGAAATAACGGCACTCGGTATTTCGATTATGTAATTTTACTGTTATATTCTCAAACTCTCGTATTTAAGTAGGAAGATTGCAGGCTTCTTAGTCGAGCGCTGACTCCTGACTAACTAAATTCTCCCGCTCTGCTTTCGCTGGTTTATTTTATAGCCTTTGTCCCGAGCATACCGTCTCTCTCTCGCGTATACGCTTCGGATGTTTACGCTTCTCGTGGCGGGTTGTCTTACCTAGCTAAGCACGCTGACTGCAGCGTGCTGTCCCAGCATGCCGGCTCAGCGTGAATCAGCCTCTATCGCTCATTCCCACCGAGTCGCGCACACGAATACTGCTAGCTATGCTATGTCCGAACGAAAAATCCCGAGAGCAAGGTTTTATTCGATAGTATATTTTTGTAACATAATAAGACGTCACGTAACAGTATGAAATAGTCGATTGATTCTACAATTTTAATAACGTTTCGAACAAGTTTTCTTTTATACTACATGTAATTTATCTCCTTTTTTTAAATAAATTTAATTTACTTTATTATATTACATAGCACTACAACTGATTTTTTGTATTGCTTTTTAATTATTCTTCTGTTGGTTTTCAGTTTCTCTTGGAAGTTCTCGTTCTGCAACCCCAGCGTTTTCATCTCCTACTGGAAATGTGTCAATCAGTCCTCGCATTAATACGTCACCTATTTCTTCTCTTGGTGTAAATCAAAGCAATGTCTTTATGCCTATCTCAAATCCTGGACAGAATCCAGCAGTAGCGAATAATGATAAGTGGAAACAATCTTCAGTGCAAACAAGTATTTTTTTAAAATACGTTGATCGACCAGTTATCAAACCAGAGCCAAATCGAGTTATATGTTCCACTAAATCTTCTGTATGTATTCCGCATCCAACTAGTATAAGCACAAGTGTAATTCGGATATCACCTGTTTGTGGACGGACAGTTCGCACCAATTTACATTCAGACGCACTTTGGCTGGATCATTCTACTGATGTATTGAATCCTACTACAAATAATTTACAAGAACAATCAGCAATCATTCTAGAAAACGTTTTGAAATCTCCAGAGAGTCCAGCATCTTCAATAAACGATAATAAACTGCATGATTATCAAAATTTGCACACTTCACAAAAGTTAACGCATATTGATTATATTCATACCAAACCTTTTGAAAATTCTACAGATTCAGTTAATATTGAGCAATCAACGATAAATTGTGAAAATGTTAGTATACACCCTACAACAAAGTTTTTAGTTATTCAAAATAACCCAGATTCCGTGCTAAGGGAAAATAATCAAAAAAATCATGAACTTATTGAAAATAATTATTCTCAAACAAATAACTTAAATATTTCTTATCAAAATCAGCAGTTATCACCAGTTTATACACAAGAAACAGTAAAATATCAGAACACTCTTGAGTGCAACATGCAAGTTTCTCTTGATCAGGTAAATTTTTTAATTTCATTATCAATATTTCATTATCATTATTTCATTATCATAGAATAATAATAAAATATTAATAGAAGGATGCCTTCTGCTATCATTAAGTTCTTATTTTATAATTAAAAAACTAACAACTGATAGCGATCAAAGAAATGAGAAATCTGAAACTTTTAGTTTTCTAATTTCTTTGATCGTTGTCGAAATTTTAGATTTTAAGAGATTATTCTCTTTAAAAAGGTTGATAAATATCTATTAACGAAACGTAAAAGTGTTTTATTCTATATCTTCGTACATAGATCAATCACAGCTTAAACTAAGATTAGATTTATCATGCATTTTAATTCGTAAAATTGAGTTTACTGATAAACTACGCTTCCTAAACCTTTCTACACACATCAATTTCCATCCGAAATATTTTTTCTTCGAATATTTTGCTCTATTCATTTTTGTGACAGTGATATCACATACATTGTTGCGTAGTTTAATTACTATCGATACTCCAATAATGTCTGTTAGCTTTTAATGATGTAAAAGAGCAATATTTTAATTATATTTTCTTGCCTAGATTAATCATATGAGTTAAGTTTGAATTAAGAGTGTAATAAATTTGGCGTGCTAAATAACTAAAACTGTTATTTGATAACAGCATGTCATTCTCGCAGGTGTCACCTTGCAATTACCTAATGTATCTGAGAATTACAGAGAAGGATAGAGCACAAGAGTAACAGTTATTTAAAACTGAGGTTTACCTGATTCCTCATTAAACTAGGCCTCGGTTTAGTCAATTCACTAAATCAATCTTATAATTTTTTTCAAAAAATATTAGAACTTTAAAAATTAATATGCGCATTCTCGAGACGTTTATAAACAATGTATGCATCAGTATATATTTGATTTTTTAAATTCGTAACAGTTTTCTTGTGTGAAATTACGAATTTTTTAAATTTTGAGGATATAATGAGTTTGTTTGTTATCAACTCGTTATGGCTTTCGCTGCGCACATGACCTATGTATAATAAATTATTATTTATCCATATATTATCCAAGAAGTAGCAGCAACAGACGCAATGATATACTTAAATTAATCTATATACTCACAGGTAAAAAAGAGAAAGTCGCGAGTATGTGAGTGTGTGTTTATGTACGCGTGTAGTCCGCGTTTTTCTTTCTGCAAAATAAAACATGATGCGTGCCACTAAAACAGAGAATGAGAGAGAGAGTGGGGAACGTTCCGCTCTCAATTAGCTGGCTACCTTCAAACTTTAAGCATCTAGCGCCCTTTGGTAACGCTCGTGCCTTTTTCGACTATCGTGTGTTAGCAGGATAGATCTTGCGGTGATCATGCGTGCAGGTGAGAGTGAACTGTGACCGGTGAGAGACAGGAAGGGGTATGTGTGTGTGTATGGATGCAGTGAAACGGCCCGACTGACATCGTCGCCGATCAGTTGCCCCTGTAGCGATAGCTGTGGCGTCATAAAAGCGTTCTGCTAGCGAGACACGACGTTTTATTGTACATTCTCTTGATTTACTTCAGCCTGGCTCTTTCCTTTTTCTAACAATCTTTCGTGCGTTCTATTACTTTTTCGCGAACTTTTGGTAATGTTATTTACGAAGTTCTCCTCGGACCTCGAGGCATATTTGCCGATTATCTCGATAAGGCGACTTAGATTACAAAGGTAGGCTTCTTGTAGCTATAACACATATCCGCATCAAGCTGCGGTGTAGATACACGTATACTAATTATTTTATTTATATTATTATAAATAAAAGAACCTATTATTTTATTAAAAATTTTGCGCTGTTGTATTAACTAACTTCATTAGTTAATAACTTTTAACTCTACTTTTTGCGATAAGTGTAAATTATACTTAAATTATCTATATCAACTTCTATATTTTCTACATAATTTAGATTTTCATTAACGCTGTATATTCTATTGTAAACTAGGGAAAATGATTTTGCACACTTGCTTAAACAGCACGACGAGGGCTGTCCTGCGAAAATAGACGGGAAAATCTGTATATACACTCCCGCCTAATAATCTTTGCCCACCTGAGAACAAAACGACTATAACTTTGAAACTCCATATCTCGGCTGGAAATACACCTACAGAGCTCTGCGGGGGCTCATTTGAAAGGGTTTTTCGAGCACTTTTCAATGGTGTATGTTAAAATCATGCTTAGATATTTCCCTTGCAGATAGGACGGCGAATATCAAAACAAAAATTACGAAATTTTTGCTTTTTCTTTAACCGCTTGCCATTTCGAGAAAAAAAATCGTACAAAAATTCTAAACATAGATTTTTTTAGCTCTTTTTCTGTACTATCCAAAACACTCATTCAAAAATAATTTTCGTCTAAATTCAGCGATTATATGAGCATTTCATTCAAAAACAGCATCTATATTCATTGCTCTGTATCTCGGAAAATTCGAATTGTAGAAAAAAATTTTCTTGGAAGAAAATGCTCTATTTTGTAAGTAGAATACGTGAACGAAATTTCATAATCATAAGAAAACATTTTTTTTTCAGTCGTAATATCAAGTAGTCTAATGTTTTCAATATTTCACTTTGGAATAATAAAACAGATCATTTATACTCGAAGCTATTCTATTAATTGTAGACAAATTTTAATTGTATGCAAATCTCGATCAACGAAAAATCTAAGTAGAAAAATTAATCTAATCTACCAAAACTGACATAACTAATGATTAGTGAAAAAAAATTTTTTTTAATGTTGTTCTAATCTTCTAAAAAATTGTTTACCATAGTAACATATTATTGAAGTATGGCACCGAGAGATTTTAGTAAACGTTATCAAGTTATTGGATTTCACATAAATGGTAAAAGTAATCGTCACATTGCTAGTATTCTCAATATTCCTCGTTGAACCGTAGACTACAATGTAAATAAATTTAAAAGTAGCGGCAGTGTTGAAGACAAGAAGCGTTCTGGTAGACCGCGGAAACGATTGCTTTTACCATTTATGTGAAATCCAATAACTTGATAACGTTTACTAAAGTCTCTCGGTGCCATACTTCAATAATATGTTGCTATGGTAAACAATTTTTTAGAAGATTAGAACAACATTAAAAAAAATTTTTTTTCACTAATCATTAGTTATGTCAGTTTTGGTAGATTAGATTAATTTTTCTACTTAGATTTTTCGTTGATCGAGATTTGCATACAATTAAAATTTGTCTACAATTAATAGAATAGCTTCGAGTATAAATGATCTGTTTTATTATTCCAAAGTGAAATATTGAAAAAATTAGACTACTTGATATTACGACTGAAAAAAAAATATTTTCATATGATTATGAAATTTCGTTCACGTATTCTACTTACAAAATAGAGCATTGTCTTTCAAGAAAATTTTTTTCTACAATTCGAATTTTCCGAGATACAGAGCAATGAATATAGATGCTGTTTTTGAATGAAATGCTCATATAATTGCTGAATTTAGACGAAAATTATTTTTGAATGAGTGTTTTGGATAGAGCAGAAAATGAGCTAAAAAATGCTATATTTAGAATTTTTCCACGATTTTTTTTCTCGAAATGGCAAGCGGTTAAGGAGAAAACAAAAATTTCGTAATTTTTGTTTTGATATTCGCCGCCCTATCTGCAAGGGAAATATCTAAGCATGATTTTAATATACACCATTGAAAAGTGCTCGAAAAACCCTTTCAAATGAGCCCCCGCAGAGCTCTGTAGGTGTATTTCCAGCCGAGATATGGAGTTTCAAAGTTATAGTCGTTTTGTTCTCAGGTGGGCAAAGATTATTAGGCGGGAGTGTATACGAGGTGTGATCAAAAAGTAAGGTGAATTTTTATTTTTCTCAAAAAATATTTATTTATTCATCAATTTTTATTTTATTTCCTTCAAAGTAATCCCCCTCGAATATAATGCACTTGTGCCAACGCTTTTTCCAATCCTCAAAGCATTTCAAAAAATCATTTTTTGTGATCTTGTTTAGTTCATCCTTCGATGCCGTCTTTATCTCCTCAATCATGGCAAAACGCCGTCCTTTCATGGGCCTCTTCAGTTTTTGGGAACAAGAAGAAGTTACAGGGGGCCAGATCTGGGGAATACAGTGCCTGTGGCATCGTTACTGTGTTGGTTTTAGCCAAAAATTCGCGCACAAGCAACGACGTGTGAGCAGGGGCGTTATCATGGTGCAAAAGCCAATTTTTATTTTTCCACAAATTCGGACGTTTCTGGCGGAATGCTTCGCGCAAATTGCGCATAACTTGCAGGTAATATTCCTTATTTACTTTTCTACCCTGTGGCAAGAACTCATGATGCACCACGCCCCTGCAGTTAAAGAAAACTGTAAGCAAAACCTTTACATTTGATCGAACTTGGCGTGCTTTTTTTGGTCTTGGTGATCCAGAATGCCTCCACTGGGACGATTGAGTCTTAGTCTCGACGTCATAACCGTATACCCATATTTCGTCACCTGTTATAACGCTGTTGAGTAAATCTGGATCATCGTTAACGTTATTCAGTAGCTCTTGGACGATGCTCATGCGACGTTTCTTTTGGTCGAAATTGAGCAATTTCGGAACAAACTTCGCTGACACACGTCTCATGTCTAAAACACTCGTCAAAATTGATTGGCACGAACCAAATGAGATGCCAATATCATCAGCAATTTCTCTAATGGTAATTCGATGATTTCCCAACACTATTTTCTTCACTTCTTCAACATTCTCATCAGTTGTTGATGTGCTGGGGCGTCCAGAACGAGGTTCGTTGTCGGTGTCTTCTCGGCCTTCTTGGAAGAGTTTATACCACTTGTAAACATTTTTTTGGCTTAAAGTAGACTCACCGTATGCCACTTTCAGCATTTCAAGTGTTTTGGAACATTTGATTCCATTTTTCACACAAAATTTAATGCAAACTCTTTGATCCATGTTTTTAGACAGCAGCAAATCGTGGAGCACGCAAAACACTTCTAACCTTGATGCCTCTCACAAACAAACCAAACATACTACAAAGCT